CACCAGGGCTCCTAGAGCATGCCTGAACCGTGGTTCCCAACAGCTGCTATGAGCAAAGCTGTGCCAGCACCCAAATTAGGGTGCTGAGCACCACAGACCACGGTGTGCTGGCTGAGTCCAAGCAGTGCTTTGAGTCAGACCTAGATGCTTTGGTGCCCCCATGCCTAGGAAGAGCCAGCTTCCAAACTTCAGCGAAAACTCAGGCTCTCCCTGCTTCAGGCTGTATCATGGGGCCAAGGTGTCCCCGAGACCCTTGTTCCCCACATGACTGTGTCAGCTTCCTTCAACCTAGTCCCAAGACCCTGTTTCAGAGCTGGTCCACCCTCCATTTTCCTTGCCTCCCCACCACCGTGCAGACAGCATACATACGCAGATGGCATTGATATCAGACTCGTGCCCTGAGAAGGTCTGACGGCAGGTGCCCTCCCGCACATCCCACAGTTTGGCAGTAGCATCACAGGCCCCAGAGATGAAGAGTTTGAAGTCTGGGGAGACAGCCAAGCTCATACAGTCTCCGGTGTGACCCAGGAACACAGTCTTCTGCTGCCCTGTCTCAATGTCCCAGAGCGCACTGTGGGAGAGAAGAGAACTTCTCAGAGCCAACCCAGGCAGATAGATCTACAGCTGTGCTGAAGAGCTGTCCCACTCACGAACAAAAGGAGGGAAGCCATGGCCTGGCTAGCACATGGGAAAATGGGTGAGAGTATTGCTGGAGTCAGCTGTATACAACAGGAGATACCTTCACAGCTGTTTCTGGTCATACCTTGGCCAACAGAGTTAGGCTAAGGCTGGTGGGTATGTGATATATTCCCATAATTGCCACAGTTGAAAGTAATACTGAGAGGAGGAAAGAGGGACCCAAGACAAACAGCTGGAAAAGGTCTATCATATCCATGCTTATAAGATACACGGGCTGTGTTCACTGGGATCCCATGCTACAGACAGGGGAACAAGCTCCCTGTAGCCTTGATCTCTGATGGAAATGCCACATCCTGACTCGTCCTTGTTCAAGAGGTTCTTCCAAAGCAGGTGTTGGCAGGGGGTGGGGGTGAAAAAAGACTCAGAGCAGCTCAGAGTCACAGCACAGCGAGACCTGAGAGCCAGGAACCAAAGGATTCAGGCACTGCCTTTGCAGATGTCCCTTGCTCAGTGGGCAGGACTTGAGAAGTGGAGCGTGTACGCGAGCTCCACATAAATTTATGATGTCTTTTGTCCTGGGATAAACACC